CCCGGTCTAAATTAGAGCATATATTTTATTTTAACTATATTTACCAATGAACTGCTGTTCTAGAGGAACTGGTCTGAAACTGTTGTCAAAATAGAACAAACCGGTTTTCGGGTTTACACGTAGGAAAGTAGCAACATCCTGGAGATATTTTGATTTATTACACTTAAGAAAATGCATGTCAACCCTACATGCTAAGATGTCAATGCCCGGTTTACAACGGTACCCTTGAACACCTTAATCTGATAAAATGTGTAAGAAACCGTCGCAAATGAGATTGAACGGGTTTAAGAAACAAATACTTGATCAGACAAAGCTTTTAAGGGTACCGTTGACAATCGGGAATTAATCATCTTTATATGGAGGGTTAGCAAGACGAGGGAAAACTCACCTAATGGATCGAGCAACTAGAGTCTCCAATACAGGACCACGCTCGTCATGAAGAAGATGGATTTCGTCAAAGATGACGAGTTTGACGAGTTGAGTGTAGGTTCTTTCCCCCCCTTTCCTGGTGATAATATCCCACTTCTCAGGGGTACACACAATAATCTGGGTCTGTGCAATCTGCTCCTTGGTCAACTGATTATCCCCTTAACAGATGAAATAGTTGATTATCCCCTAAACAGATGAAATAGGTGATTAGAAACAGATAAATATTTCATTATCCCCTAAACAGATGAAATAGTTGATTATCCCCTAAACAGATGAAATAGTTGATTATTCCCTAAACAGATGAAATAGTTGATTATCCCTTAAACAGATGAAATAGTTGATTATTCCCTAAACAGATGAAATAGTTGATTATCCCCTAAACAGATGAAATAGTTGATTATTCCCTAAATATTCGAATTGAAATACAAAATTTTTAAGGTATTAAATTGTTTTAATAAAAACAATTCCGTTACAGCCAAAAATCGTAAAAACTGTAAATCCCAAAGTAAATTAACCTGTCAGTTCAGAAACCGTAATATTATATTTTGCCAGACGTTTCCCGAAGTTTCCTAAAATATATATTATTAAAGTAGAATCAATCAAATAATTATTTTCCAGAAAAAGGTTTGAATTCCGCATGTAAAAAATGTTCGACTGTTAAACCCTACGGTGGACGCTTTTTAATTTAAATGCTAAAAAATAATTTTATGAGTGAAAAAAAAGCGACAAAAGTGCATTGTCATACTTCGGATAAAAAACAAAAATGATTGATTGATTCACTGACCTGTCATCTCCTGTACTAGAGACCGCATAGGCGCAACATAGATAATCTTAAAATTATCTGCGTTGATGCTCCCATCCTCGTTCACATGCTTCCCGATCTCATGGAGCATTGTCAGCAGCGCCACGTTAGTCTTACCAGCGCCTGTCGGGGCGCACAACAGCAGGTTCTCGTCAGACTCCATACAGGCCTAGAAGAAAAGGAATTTTTAACAGAATTCTTAGTTTGAAATATCTGAGGTCTACGACATTTGGTTGCAAAGATATAAAGATTAGAAAACTCGATTCCTTAATTAATAAAATAAATTATAAAATAATAGGTAATTAAGAATTAGAAGTAATTAAGGTTAAAAAAAAGTTTAAGGTTTGTATGCTTATGACATGGAATGGAACAAACTCGTTCAAATAAGAATGATTGAAAACTTAAGTTTTCTAATTTTGGCAAGTTTTTAGTTTTTCAGTTTTTCATTCGAAACTGAGCGCNGGTTTTCTACTTTTGGCAAGTTTTTAGTTTTTCAATCTTTCCACCGAAACTGGGCGCTATTAGGAAAATACTAAAATATAAAGCAATAATTTATACTTTGTAGAGCCTGGACTGTATTCTATTGATAGCCTTAAATCCCTTGAAGACGGGCTGGGTCATGCTGGTAAACTCTCAATTGCTCGTCAGCACCAAACGGTTTAGGTTTAAGAGCAGGGACATGAACCTCCTCATATCCTTTCTTCTGCTTCCTGCATAAAAATACAATTTCAACAAAAGTTTGGAATTAAGATTTATATAATTTACTAACTAAAGTATAGGTCTGTAGATAATAGATATGTAAAATTAAAAAGTTACTTTGACCCTCCCCCCCTCCCAGGTGTAATTCTTAAATATCTACATCCCTATATGAAAAAAAAAATAGAAAAAAATAATTGAGCATGATTTGCGTCTATTAAATATAATTATAATAGTGTCTGGGTTCCGTCCTAGAGAACGATATTTGCCCCCCCTTTCAATTTTACTTTTTCAACAATTTTCAATTAAATTAGTATTTATTTAGGGTTAGGTTTAGAACATATATAAGGATAAATGAGATATCCATAATCATGGAGCTGAAAATCTCATATAAGGATAAATGAGATATCCATAATCATGGAGCTGAAAATTGTATCTTCAAATTTTAGTTATCTTTTGCAGATTAAGGTTTCAGAAAATATTACGGAAATTGTCAGTATTCAAGTATACTAGTTTTGGATCGAAGAACAAGTATTTCTACCTTTTTGTTACTCAACCAAAAGGTTTCAAGGTTATAGGACATGCCAACATTTTTAAATTAAGTGTAGTTTCCCCTGCAATCCCTTTTTAACGTAACTTGACAAGGGCGTAAATTCTCACAAAAACATCTTGATAAAAAATGCATTTCTATTATCTATTAGATAACTTATTTCTAAGTTTTACCATACTTCAGATCTAATTTGTCTGCATATATTTGACGTCAATATCTAGTTCAGTACTAGAACACTTATATTACCAAGAACAGTAGATTCGAACATTTCATGAAAATATAACTATATTACCAAGAACAGTAGATTCGAACATTTCATGAAAATATAACTATATTACCAAGAACAGTAGATTCGAACATTTCATGAAAATATAACTATATTACCAAGAACAGTAGATTCGAACATTTCATGAAAATATAACTATATTACCAAGAACAGTAGATTCGAACATTTCATGAAAATATAACTATATTACCAAAAACAGTAGATTCGAACATTTCATAAAAATATAACCGGTATATCCGACGAATTTATAGAAAATACATATAACTACAAAATCTATACAATTTATTCGTTTCATATCATGTATATCATGCGCTCGCCAAAAAAGAATAATTTTATTTCGTACCGTAGAAATTGGTGTAATGTACTTGAACAATAACTAATAAAAATCATTAATTAAATCGTATTTTTACCTAGCAACCTCCTCGCACATTTGACTCTCACGATTCCCTCCTTTAGATGTTTTCTGTAAACCTCCTCCTGCTCCTTCTTCATCTCCTCCTTCTCCTTCCAACTGTTTGAGAATACTTACAAGGTCGGGATCTTGGGACATCTTCGCGCGGATGGACGTCTTCTCTATCTCACTCTGGGCGCTAGCCAGCAGGGTGCAGTACATTATCATGTTCCTAGAGTTCAAGGGTACAGTAAATTATCATATTCAAGTGTGCAGTACATTATTATATTTCTTGGGTACAAGGGTTCAGTACATAATCATATTTAAGTGTGCAGTACATTATCATGTTACTAGAGTACAAGGGTGCAGTACATTATTTTGTTCCTGTACAAGGGGCAGCACATTATCTTGCTCTTGGAGTACAAGGGTGCAGTACATTATCATATTCCAAGTGTACAAGTGTGCTGTACATTATCATATTTCTAGAGTAAAAGTGTGCTCTACATTATCATATTCCTAAAGTACAAGGATGAAGTACATTATCATATTCCTTGAGTACAAGGATACAGTACATTATCATATTCCTAGAATAAAAGGGTTAAGTACATTATCATATAACTAGAATACAAGTGTGCTGTACGTTATCATGCGTACAAGTGTGCTGTATATTATCATATTCCAAGAATACAAGGGTGAAGTACAATATAATATTCCTAGAGTACGAGGGTACAGTACATTTCCAAGGTAAGTTATCCTAGAATCGTCATCAAATCAAAATTTAATTGTAATTAAATCAAAATTAAAATTAAGGGTGCAGATTGCAGAATATTTTAGTTAAAATCATGAAAACCTGTTTTTTAAAAGCATCTTGATGAAATCAAAACAATCGTATCCTAGAAGGAGAACAAGCTGATTTTCTAACTCTCGCTGATTATCAGACTTCTGTAGGATCTCCAGAACCTAGAGTAGAGAGATGCAGAATCCTTTAAACATTTGACTAACTACTTAACAACTAACTTAACCTACTAACAGACTAACTTAAACTCCTTGTTAGAACTTAATAACTAGCCAACTAACTTGAACTCCTTGTTTGAACTTAATAACTAGCTAAATAACATGAACTCCTTGTTAGAACTTACAACTAGCTAACTTACTTAAACTCCTTGTTAGAACTTAATAACTAGCCAACTAACTTGAACTCCGTGTTAGAACTTAATAACTAGCCAACTAACTTGAACTCCTTGTTAGAACTTAATAACTAGCTAACTAACTTGAACTCCGTGTTAGAACATAATAACTAGCTAACTAACTTGAACTCCTTGTTAGAACTTAATAACTAGCTAACAACTTGAACTCCTTGTTAGAACTTAATAACTAGCTAACTAACTTGAACTCCGTGTTAGAACTTAATAACTAGCTAACTAACTTGAACTCCTTGTTAGAACTTAATAACTAGCTAACTAACTTAAGCTCCTTGTTAGAACTTAACAACTAGCAAACTAACTTGAGCTTAATAACTTAAACTAACTATTTACTAGTTCAACTATTTCTCTATTCACCTCAATGCTTTTCTTCTGGCTTGTTATTGCCTCCTCATAATATTTACTCAGCTTTCTCTGCAACCAGTGAGCATCAATATCCAGAGGATGTAAACCTAGATAAAAACAATAACAATAACAATAACCTTAAAACCTTAACCTTAAAACCTTAACCTAAACCTTAACCTTAACCTTAACCTTAACCTTAACCTTAACCTTAACCTTAACCTTATTATTAACATTAACATTAACATTAACATTAACATTAACCAGTAACCTTCACAGTAAAAACTGATATAAATTTTTTTTTTTTAAGTTTAAATTTTACTTTTGAGATTTTCCTCCAAAGCTTTAGTACACGAATAGAAAAACAAAGATAAATATACCAGTATTATTAAACTTTATTTAGGCTTCCATGTGAATTGTGGAAACGGAACAAAAGTTCGAATATTTTTTTTGGTGGATTACCTTTCAAACAGTAACAAAAACCAAAAGAAAAAAACAAAAATATGTCATAACTTAAGTTAATTTTATATTTAGGTTTAGCTTTGAATCGTAACGGAATAAAAGTTTTAAAAATTAGTATTTGCCAGATTACCTTTCTCATTTTTAGCGAATGAATCACTAGACTTGACATCCGAATATCCTCGTATTCCAGTATCCTCGCCTAGCATTGGTTCATCCTCACTCATATCCTCGTCAGAATCTTCTCCTCTCTCCCCTCGAACCTGAACAATCCATTTCAATCCAGACCTGGGCACTTTTCTTAGGTTAATCCGATTCGCTTGTGATCGTATGTTCGAATAATCATAAAAGCAAGGTTATAATTCAAGGAAAGTTAATTGCAGTTGCGTATACTCTGCGTACATATTGAAGCCAGTTCTCTCTGGGCGGAATTTGTAAAAAGAATAGATGCATTAGTGATTGTTTGGTATCTAAGGGTTAAAAGCATTAAATTTTGATAATTTTAATAATTCACATAATAGTTTCCTTTGACCAGAATATTTCTTTTATTTTTTTATGTGGAAGATGGATCCCATGTCAGGGTTCGACATCCGTCTTGTGTTTACATTACAGCCCAGAGACAGTACACTGCATTACAAAAGATGCGTACACCTCTGAAATAACTTTCCTTGCCTTATAACCTTGCATAAAAATATCTGTTTTAGGCAACTGAGAGGGGGTGCATTTGCTATGGGGTAGATGAATAAAAGGAAACCGATAAAATTCACTGTCGGCGGGTAAGTGACAGAAAGGAAAATTTATGTGTTAAAAGTGACTGGATAATTTTTCTTTAATTTTTTTTAAGGACAGATCCAGAGTCTGCATTACAACGAATTGGATCCTTGCATTGCATTGAGTTTTATGAAAAATTCTAGTCAATGTTTAGGAATAGGATTCATTTCAATTAAATAATGAAAGTTGAAAAAATAGATCCGAATCCAGGTCAGGCTTCATTTAAATAATGAAAGTTGAAAAAAATAGATCCTGGAGGTCAGGAACATTTTTTTCAAGATTTACTGATTTTTAGATCAAATAAATGATATTTTAGTTTTTCAATTTGCATATTTTTATGCTAAACCTTGATTAATCAATAACTATTTATTTCCGATCCGGATCCTAAGCACCTACCTCGCCATATACATCCTCTCCATCCCCCTCCTCCTCATAGTTATCAAACTGTACAGGTATACCGTAGGTCTCATCTATACCCTCGTCCTTAATTAAACATCTTTAAACGAGTCTCTTTTCTTATTTATCAATGAATCAATCAATCAATCAATCAATCAATCAATCAATCAATCAATCACGCAATCAATCAGTTTTTGTGATGTCCTACTACCCATTAGGGAGTAAGGAATAAAAGGAGATATAACTGACGCGGTTCGCCCTACCATATGATTATACATGCTTTGCAGACGGGTACTCCATTTGTATATGAAATATTCAGAATAGGTTATTGTAAACGCAGTAATTGTACATCAGACAAATATTTCTTATTCAAATGAAGTACCCGTCTGCAAAGCATGTATAATCATATGGTAGGGCGAACCGCGTCAGTTATATCTCCTTCTATTCCTTACTCCCTCCTACCCATACAATAAACTCAAAATGAAATTACAAAATCCCTTAAAAATTGACAGAATTAGCCCTGTTTAGCCTAGAATGGTTAAAAAGGTTAAAAAATGGCGGAAAAACAGTGAAATGGCTGGCCCATTTAGGAAAATTATTTTAGAATGCTAAAATTTCGCATTTGAGCTAGTTTTACCCTAAAACTTCCCAGATGTGCGACACATTTTTTAGGAAGCAATAGGTTAAAACTTACTCAAATACGAAATTTTAGTATTTTAGCCATTTTACTGTTTTCCCCGCCATTTTTGGCCTTTTCTAACCATTCTCAGCTAAATAGGGTTAACTGTCAATTTTCCATATTCAGTCCAAATATACTACAGGGGACCCTGATACTGCATAATGCATACTATTCATCTATCTTTTACTCCTTCCTGACAGCACGAATGCTCCCAGGTTGCTCCCAGCTAACCACCTATCCCCAGAATCCTCTGTATCCTACCGGAGTACATGGATAATTTATTTACCTTATTTACATTCGGATCATGGCCGAAATCTGTAATTTTCTTCCCCAGGTTGACCAGCAGTGCAAACCTAAATCATATCAGGTAGATTTCAGAACAAGAAGTCTTCCAGAATTCATTAATATATCACTTGGCTATTAGATCTTCTAGTTCAACTTTTAATTACTGCTTAATCTTTCAGCTATATCTCTATAAAAAAAATAAAAACATGTACACATTTACAATTTTTCTCGTGAATTTTTTTCACGAAAGTTTTACGATAATCAAATTTTTTTGGAGACAACTTTTTGTAATTCTTAGCATCCATAAACCTTCCCTGAGGTCATATAAGGTTCCACAAAAAATTTGGGTCCGGATCGGCTTGGATACAAACAAAAAACCACAAGCAAAGTATATATATAGATGTTACCTTTCTTCTGCCAAAGGGCCCAGAAATGCCTCTGTCTCTTTTTTCTTTTCCTTGCTCGACACCTAATTAACGGGATTTTTAATAAAAAATTTTAAATCTCACAAAAATTGGAGAGAAAAAAATTCTTTTTTTGTCAAAAATATTTACTTCTTCATATATAAAAAATTTTAATATTTTCTTTGAAAGTTCAAAATTTGTACTTTGGTGGAGAATATGTCTAATTTATGTTTAAAAAATATCATTTCAGCAAAAATCTAAAAAATACTTAAGTTGTTTAACGTAATACTGTACAGTACTGCATAGTTAAAAAATAGGGTGTAATGTTTAAAAAAGAAAAATGTTGTAAAATCAATAGCTCTCATTCCAAATGTTCTCGCAGACACGTCTAAGTATGATAGTTTGATGCAGATCCTCGTTAGTCTAATAGTTAGATGAAAAATATCTGAGAATTCTGAATTTCTAGCTTCTCTTCTTTACTGGCCTTTTGTTGTGAGAGCCTGGGGGCAATTACTCATAAAACTCTTAACGTGATTAATTTTTTCTTCTTCTTATTTTTGAAGGTATTACAAGAATTTTGATGAAAATGTTGAAAATTTTTTTTGTTAAGAACATTATAAAAGTTTTAGAACNAAGCCAAACTTAAAATTTAAGAACAGGGGGCAACTATGATCAAACGATGAATTTATTTACAATTTGAACATTTAAACATTTACTGTGGTATGTTTAAAATAAGAATTAAACGAAATACTTTTATTTCAATTTAATTAAAAGCAGAAACAAGCCAGACCACATTTCCTGTACCATGTCATGTTTAGTGGAACACCCTATACCATATTATGTTTAGTGGAACACCATATACCTTATCATGTTTTGTGGAACACCATATACCTTATCATGTTTTAGTGGTACACCCTGTACCTTATCATGTTAATTGGGACACCCTGTACCATATCATGTTAAGTGGAACACCTTATACCTTATCATGATTAGTGGATCACCCTGTACCTTATCATGTTTAGTGGGACACCCTGTACCATATCATGTTAATTGGGACACCCTATACCATATCATGTTTAGTGGAACACCCTGTACCTTATCATGTTTTAGTGGAATACCCTGTACCTTATCATGTTTAGTGGAACACCCTGTACCTTATGTTCAGTGGAACACCCTGTATCTTATCATGTTTAGTGGAACACCTTGTACCTTATCATGTTTAGTGGATCACCCTGTACCTTTTCATGTTTAGTGGAACACCTTGTACCTTATCATGTTTAGTGGGACACCCTGTACCTTATCATGCTAAGTGGAACACCCTGTACCTTATCGTTCTTAAGAGACATAAGAATCTCGTCGGCTGCTCCGGCCAAGATATCCCTGGGCTGGTCACCCAGTGCCTCCTGTATAAAGGAGAGAAGGATCTCGTAGGTCTGTTTAGTCTCCTAAAGAGAATAGAAATAGTTAAGAGTATAGAACTTGAAAAATAACCGCCAAAGAACGGAAGTTAATTTAACAGTTGATTAACCAACATGTCAAGGTCTAGGCCAGCAGTGACCGAAGCCACCTCCTTACTAGTCCAGTATGGTATGTTCATTGTTCATGTGTTACCTGTGTTTTGGGTGTATAGAATACTCCGGCAACCTCGCTCAACTTGTCGGTCAGCTGGGCCTTCCCGCCCTTGAACTTCTGCTGGGCCTCGTCTCTCTTCTGTCTCTTCTCCCTCTTCTCGTCGCTCTTCTTCGGTTTATCCCGGAGATATCTGTCTCCCATCTTCGTTCCCACCATTTTCCCCACCAGGGAGTGCACTTCACCTGTAGCTTCATCCTACAAAGAATAAAAACGGTTTATGAGGTAGCGACAAAATGGCTGACGAAAGTTCAAGGAAAACTTTGCTGAACGTTATAATTTGGAGCATTTTTGTTTTAGAGTAAAACCTTAAGACTCAAATTTTAAACTTTTTTCTGGTTAAAATACATTTGGAAAAGGTTTTTTTTTAAGGGGGGCCGGTTGGAGGATCATATCTTTTTGACAAAATAAATACCTTTGCTCTTCGCTCGATGAGCCTAAGATCAGCTTGTAATACAAGATTCGAGTTCGCCTTGTACTCGTACTGCAAAGACCTAGCGGTCTGATCCGCCATATTGGATTTTTAACTGAAACTCTGAAATATCAAAAATTCAAATTTGAACATTTTAAAGAAAAAAGGGTCGAAATAAAAGTTTGAGTTTAAAGTTGAAGAAAAAATAAAAGAAATAAATGAGTCTTTTAAACAGTGGCGGTCATTAAGCAGAAATTCGTAGCTATCTCTAGTTAGGAATTTAGGAGTAGTCTCCTGACAGAATACTGGACTAGTATCTGTACTTGGTGGAGTAGTCCTTGGGTGAGACTACCAGACCTCGTCCCTTCCTCGCTCCTCGGTACACAGTCTCGATAATATCAACCAGCTCCTGGATCAGAGACAGATTTCAAGGCAGTGCTTAGGATCCGGATCCATTGGATCCGCAAGATTTTGGTTTCCTGGATCCGGATCCGCAAAAATATGCGGATCCACGGATCCGGATCCAAGGGGTAAAATATCAACCAAAAACTGCAAAAAAAACTATTACTCATAAAACCCAAATCTGAATTTTTGAAAAAAGAGAGATTTTAAAAATTTCCTCATTTCTGAACGGTTCATTACGTTTTAGGATAAAAATAAGTGAAAAAAAAATAAAACAAAAATTTGAAAATAATTTTTTTGTTTAAATAGGTCGCATTTAGAAAACTAAATACAAACCATTTTCAGTAATATTAATTTTTTAAAAATTCAATAAGTTAAACCCGGATATTAATTTCTGGATCTAGTTTGAGGATTCGAAAAAGTATATTTATAGAAAAAACAACCTGCTTGTCTTCCATAGCCCAATTGATCTTATTGTTGTTACCAGTTCCCAAATCAATCATGATATGCTTATTCCTACAAATAAATATTTTCAGCAAAATTAATTTTAAATTCATTTACTTTTTTAAAAACACATGACCTGAAGTCCAAAAAGAGAAGACAAAAAAATAAAGAAAATAAATCATTTAAAATAATTTAATTAAATAATTTCATTAAAATTGTTCCAATGCATAATTTCCCAATCCAACATGTGTAACGTGTATTGTTCAGGTTCTATTGTGTACACTGTACATTGTACTATCCAACTTAGAATGCATATTGAACAGTACTGTAATGTACAATGAAACCTGTACCAATTTCTACCTGAAGAAGAACATGATGGTGCAGGGGTCGTACAACTCGTACATCTTCACAAATTATTCTACAGTCAAAATCAAGCATTTAAAATATCTTTCTTAAAATAAAAATAAATAAAATTTTCCTTTTGAGTTTAGAATTTGAACAAGCCAAACAAATCATCAGCAGAGGGGATACAGTATAATTCAATGTTTAGAATAATTCTTGCAATTTGGCTAGCTGCAGGACATCCAAAATTTTTTCAAAATTAGCCGAAGTATGATTGAAGGATGGACGAGTAATGGACGATCAAGAAGAAAGAATGAAAAACAAGAAGTATATAAGTCGCAAAATGTTTCCGTCTGATATCATAAAGAAATTTAAAATATTGTAAAATTTTTTTTACGAAATATTCTGGACCCGCCATCTAAAAAAAAATATCTAGCTCTAAAACCGGATTCGGGTCATACACATTTCTTTAAAATTTGCCGATTTATTTTTACTTGTTCTCTCCTTTTCCACTTATTTTATGCTAAAACATTCTGAGCTTGTAAAGTTTTAATTTTCGCTAAATAGTAAACAGTTGAGATTTGTGTTTTGAGAGTAAAAAGTAACTTTTTAACCGGTCTCTGATGCCATTTTGCACTTTAAATCCGGATCCAGTCAGTTAAATGAAGGGTCACTAAAAATGACTCTTTCAACCCGTGCACAGTGCAACTTACATAACATCGACGCTGCTCTCTCAGCCCGTGCGCAGTGCAGCCTACATAACATCGAAGCTGCTCATTCAACTCGTGCACAGTGCACATAACATCGACGCTGCTATTTCAACCCGTGCACAGTGCAGCTTACATAACATCGACGCTGCTCTTTCAACCCGTGCGCAGTGCAGCCTACATAACATCGAAGCTGCTCATTCAACTCGTGCACAGTGCACATAACATCGACGCTGCTCTTTCAACCCGTGCACAGTGCAGCTTACATAACGTCGACGCTGCTCTTTCAACCCGTGCACAGTGCAGCTTACATAACATCGAAGCTTCTCTTTCAACCCGTGCACAGTGCACATAACATCAAGGCTGCTCTTTCAATCCGTGCGCAGTGCACATAACATCGACACTGCTCTTTTAACCCGTGCACAGTGCACATAACATCGAAGCTGCTCTTTCAACCATTGCCCGCAAAAAAAATTATTTGATTTTTTTTCTCTCACGAAAACTAATTACTAACGGACAATTTAAAAATTATGATGAAACCAATGCTTCTATTTAATTTTAATGCGGATCCGGATCCAGATCATCAGGTTTCTGTGAGATTTACTGATTTTTTAACAAAGCAGAATTGTCAAAATATTTTTCATCTTTTTTTCACTTATTTTCAAGCTAAAACTTGATGAACAATTCATAGATAAGAAAATTCTTATAATCTCTCTTTTTTTCAGATTTGGGGGTTGAGCGTGAATAATTTTTTTTTCAGTTTTTGGCTTGGATCCGGATCCGTGGATCCGCATATTTTTGCGGATCCAGATCCAGGAAGCCAAACTCTTGTGGATCATATGCACTAAATGGAAGAAACAAAAAAAAGTTAAATAAGAAATCCCACCTGATGCACACCACACGATCCTCTTCAGACAGGATAGCCTGATCAACCTTAAATATAATGAATGAGTCAATAGGTAAACAGGTTAATAGGGCATCATTAATAGGTCAATAGGTTGATAGGGCATCATCAATCGGTCAATAGGTTAATAGGGCATAATCACTAGGTCAATAGGTTGATAGGGCATCATCAATAGATCAATAGGTTGATAGGGCATCATCAATCGGTCAATAGATTGATAGGGCATCATCAATAGGTCAATAGGTTGATAGGGCATCATCAATAGGTCAATAGGTTGATAGGGCATCATCAATCGGTCAATAGATTGATAGGGCATCATCAATAGGTCAATAGGTTGATAGGGCATCATTGATAGGTCAATAGGTTGATAGGGCATCATTGATAGGTCGATAGGGGAAAATCAATGAACCAAACAGAACAATAGACCAATTATGCCAATATCAAAAGGTCATTTGGGGCAAATTTATCAGTAGATAAACAGAAAAATAAATTAATAGGTCAATACAGGGGTGGCANTGTTGATCGGGAAGAAACAACTGACAAATTGGATATTAAAAGGCAAGTTTAAAAAACGGACTTTTTCATCATTTTCCCCAAAAAACTTCCTAAACAGAATTTATTTCCACAATTCGGGCCATTATACCTTAAAGCCATGCCTATTGCCTAGCCTCAAGGGGGGAAAATATTGTCAAAAGATATAAACACCCATCAATAAACCATAAATTTATAGGTCAAAAGAGCGATAAATTAAAAGGTCAGGAGGTCAATGGTCAAAAGGTGAAGAAATTAAGAGATCCATTATTATTTAAATTAAACGTTAAGCCTCATAGTGAAATCAGCAATTATTACAGAAGTTTTAACGTAATATTTCTCTTGTATGCGAAGAAGGCCCCTTAGCATGGATATTAGAAGATTTGTAGAAAACGTGTTGGGGCTTCATAGTTCATGTCAACAAAAATAATAAAGGATTCAGGGATATTTTTAAGTAAAGCATAGCTCTGTACATTGAAGACTGTAACGTATATAATACCTGCCAACCGTTGTGTAAATGCTGTAGCATAAAACTCATCTTCACAATTTAATTTTCTCCCAGACAGAACAAATAAAAACCTTTCACTTGATAATCACGATTTCAGTCAATTATTGTTTAGAATTAGCTTTTCAATGTTCACTACTCTAAGCTTTGTTCTGAGCAGCTTCTTTCCTTGCAGCGTCCTGGAGCAGCTGAGTGTCTATCTCGTCCGCGGGCAGCTGAACGTACCTAGAAAACAGGGCTTGGTAATCTTATCCCATCCTTCTCTCTCCGGTTTTTTAGTCTAACTCATACGTGCTGACAAATAAGCAAATTGTGAGCGGAATATAAGCTTGCGACTTAAATGCCAAGATGTTTATTTGTAAAATATAAAGCTTTTAAGGCAAACTTTTAAAAAAAATTGCGTTTAGATTCACCGAGTAAAATCGATGTCCACTCTACAAACATATAAATTAAGTGATGTGTAATTCCATAACCTGTGTTAAAATATACTTTGGCAGGCGTTAATATTTTCAATATAATGGGATTTTATCAAATACTCAAAAACAATTAATTTTCTCCAATTAAGTAAACTCCAAAAAAAACATGATTTTCAAGAAAATAAATAACGAAGAAGTTTTAACTACTATTCACTGAATTGTCCCAGCGCTGAAGAGGATACTATAAGATACATTAAGCAAGTGTGCCCTCCGATCACTTCGCGCACCTCTTTCTCTTCACCGTATGTCATATAACTAACAAAAAATTTTCCCAGACTAAAAAGTTTAAAACTTGATTTTTTAAACTAATAAAACAGTGATATATATTTTTTGAAAAACTATCCCCCTCCCCCCGTAGTTAAGTACGTTTTAGGGTTTTTTTAGGCTTATATCTACTGTACGTATATCATGCATCTGTTACTTTATTTTTTGTAATTATATCTCATATTACTGAGCCGCTGTATTGCAGAAAATAAAAGATTTTTACGGCAAAATAAATAAATATTTGGGTAAAATAGATCAGAATGTTTCATGTCTTATTATATTTTTTCCCTACCCAGATCTTCAAAATTCTTAAAAAATAAAATAAACATAAACCCTTGTTATGTAAGAATTTGCGCAGCTCTATAAGTTGATATTCTAGGATTCAAACTGTTCATGATTGCTCCTGTGAAACATTCAGATCAGAAAGTAAGGAATAGAAGGGAGATATAACTGACGCGGTTCGCCCTACCATATGATTATACATGCTTTGCAGACGGGTACTCCATTTGAATAAGAAATATTTGTCTGATGTACAATTACCGCGTATACAATAACCTTTTCTGAATATTTCATATACAAATGAAGTACCCGTCTGCAAAGCATGTATAATCATATGGTATGGCGAACCGCGTCACTCCCTTCTATTCCTTACTCACTGATTCAGATCCAATCGTTTCAACCGTTTACAGCTTATCATAAAAAGCAAGTCAACAGTTTAGGGTTTTACCTTACAACAGATCCACGAATGAAGCAGTTTTTAACACTGAGCATATGAGGACGCTTGTCAGGGTTAGTTACAGAGATGTCAACCAACTACATTCAAATCTTTGTTTATCCAGGAATATAATATTAAAATAATTCAAAATGGTTCCCCCTCACCCGCTTTGGGAGAGAAATTTACATTCTCAGGAGGAAATAAGAAAGTGGACGATTCAGGAGGGCAGTGCTTAGGATCCGGATCCGCAAGATTTTGGCTTCCTTGATCCGGGTCCGCAAAAATATGCGGATCCAGGGGGTAAAATATCAACGAAAAACTGCAAAAAAAAAAAAACTTTTTAATCCAAAACTCAAATCTCAACTTTTGAAAAAAGAGAGATTATAAAAAATTTCCTCATTTCTGAATGGTTCATATAGTTTTAAGATAAAACTAAAACAAAAATTATTTTTTGACCTGGATCCGGATCCGCATTAAAATCAAATGGATCCTAAGCACTGCAGGAGGGGAAGGGGGATTTGTAGAAAAACCCGATAATAATTTAAAACATCTCGTTTCTAACATTTGTATAACAAAAGGCATTTGTATAACATAAGGCATTAAATTACAAATACATTGTGCAATGTACATTTTGATGTATATATTCTCGATTAAATATAAATATATAAAAGATTGTAATTCCTTGATGTTAAGATACTGATCTACACTATGAAGAGTTCCACAAATGGAGAGGTCGTTCTTTAGCTCAACTACAACATCCTAAACAAGTTGGTTTATTCTAGATACGTAATTAAGCTTTGGAAGAATTTATTGTGGTTAAATTCCTAAAGAAAGATGTCTTGATGTCCAAAAATCGTATACTAGGACAGACCCAAAATTCCCGATTAAGACCGAAGAGTGTGTCCTAGAAAACGAATTTTGGACACCCCCCCTCATCAATTTTGTTCATGACCACTTGATTTCCAACAAAATTATTCATTTTTTATTATTTTTATAGTGTTAGGTCAGGTTACGACAATTTCTGGGCCGAGCGACACGGCTATGCAAGCTGCCGAGCGCGGCAGCTATGCAAGTCTACGAGGCCCGTGCTGCAGCTAGAACAGGCTAGGGGGGCCGGGCGCTGCGGCTAGGGAAGGCTAAGGGGCCAGGCGTCGCGACTAGGACAGGCTAGGGGGCCGAGCGTGGCAGCTTTGCAAGTCTAGGGACTCGCGCTGCGGCTAGAACAGGTTAGGGGGCTGGGCGCTGCGGCTAGGACAGGCTAAGGGGCCAGGCGTCGCGACTAGGACAGGCTAGAGGGCCGGGCGTTGCGGCCACATAATCAATTATATCAATGTCTTACATGTAAGATCCATGTACAAAATTGATAGGAGGGGGTCTAAAAATCGTATATAAGGAAATTACCAACATATTAATACAATCCACTTAAAAAATGATAATTCACCTTTCCAACTAGGGATTTGAAGAAGGAATAGAATAACATAGCATATCACAACAAATCTGAAATATCTAAGAATTAAACAAGAATATCATGTCGTTAGCGACAATTTTCTGAAGCGATGTCATTACATGTAAGAGTCGCCGAATCAAATTCAAGAACTCAAAACGTTTTGAACAACACGCCGCCATTTCTGTTATGCCGCTTCACAACTCTCCGCGGCATTCGAGAACTTAAATCAAAGTCGTCTTTTATTAATACTGGCTTTTTTTAAGGCATGTCCAGGGTGTTTTAGAAGACGACGTTTAGATCCTTCGATTGTACGGAAATGTAGTAAGGGTGTCCATTAAATTAGACCGCGTCAATGGTTCTAAATGAATGAATCATTTGGAAAAATTTAATAAGGCTAATAGAATTTTTTTTTGCAGAAAATGCTAGATTTTTCGAGTATTATGTACGTATTCAGGTGTTAAAAATTGGAGATAATCTAATATGATATGGGACGCTATGTTGTCTTCCAAGTACTTTATCTGAAATTTAAATTTTATGTTGAATCCAGTAAATTGATTTAACTTTAATTCCATTAAGTTTAAAATCTCGCATCTTTTTTGCCCTCTTTTTCTAAAGTTTTTTTGATAAAAAATAGTTTTAACAAATTCCACCAACCTTCTTTCACATCATGAGCTTGAAAGGAGTATAGGAGCAAAGGCTTAATTATTAGTAGTACCACGAACATTTACTTTTTTAATACAATTTTTAAAAACTTGAGTGGCCCCTGTATTATACGTTTATATTTATAAAGTGGATCTGTTCATTTTCAACTGCCTCTCTCTTTAAGATTCAAGTGTTTTTTTTCATTTGTAAAATAGATAAATAGATAGTATCCAGTATTCTACCTTTCACATCATACATAACGTGATATATGCTGATTCTTTCCGTTCAAATACAGTCTCACAATTAACATGACAGTTGCAAGACGAGTTGAATGTCGTCTTTGATCTTTAATATAATTTGCGGAATTTTTTATCAAACCTAATTTTGGGAGGAAAATTCTGGAGATAATAATAATTACAAAATACCCCAAGTTTTGAAATTTCCAAAATGTGCTCTGCCTTTTTTGTGCTTTCAATATTATCCGAGATATGAAGAATTTTGGTCAGATTTCGACAATTTCGACGATTTCTACAAAATAAAAACTACAGGGGGGGGGGGGCAATTTGGCCCCCCCCTTGCAGGAATAGGGTTAATATTATGTTGAAAAACTTTGTTTCTTTCTAATAAAAAATCGTTTTTTATTTCCACAACAGTTCAAAAAGTACACGTAAACAAGTAAACAAACAGAACAAAACGAATTTGCTGTACAATTGTACGCATGTTTATTCCAATCCATGGTTTAATTCAGGTATAATTAGTCTCAAGATCAAACTGTTGAAAAGTTGATTTCTTATAAGCTGAGAAAATAGTTTTTCTGTTTTGAAAAAGTTTGTTTCTGTTTGCTTTGCCCTAATGATTTTTAAATCAAAACAAATGCCATAAAATAAAACCATACTATAACCATATTGTATTATCTTAAAAACCAATTTTTAAAAATTAAAATTGAAATATTTCAGAATCATTAGCCTTCTCTCCTCCCTCCCCCCTTCCATCCTCCTAACTCCCACTCTTGATATTTAATTTTCTCTTTGGAATTAAATTTCATCTCTCCTCTGATCTTTTGATTTATTTATTCAATGCTCAGGCAATAACGAGGATGAAGAGTTTGAAGAGATTGCAGCAAAAATTCGCAAAGGTGAGAATTTTTAAATTTAACTTTTAGGGGATTTTCTAAAATACAATAATTTTCAAACTTTAGCGAAGACCTGCTAATCTATCACAGAATTTATTTTCTTATTAATTCTCCATTCCGATCTTTAGAACGTGATAGGTATGCCGGCAATACATAACTTTAAAAAATTTGAATATTTAAATCTGTTTTTAAATTTAGTTTTTCTTCTTCTAGTATTTGACATTGAAATTATGCATACATAAATAAACTTGCATATTTTTATTTAAATGTTTACATATGTAAATGTTAAAATGTACAGCCTTATCAAAGAAATAACATAAATTTTCTATTTACCGGTGGGGGGAGAAATCTTGACTAGAACCCATAGAGAACACTAGACTAGATCCAATTGAAAAACCTTAGACTATAGGACCCAAAGAGAACCATAGACTTTAACCCATAGAATACTCATAGAGAACCTTAGACTAGAACCCACAAAGAACCTTAGACTAGAACCCAAAGAGAACCCTTGACTAGAACCCATAGAGAACTCTAGACTAAAACCTGTAGAGAACCCATAGAGAACCCAAGCTATAACCCATAGAATTCCCATAGAGAACCCAAGACTAGAACTCATTGAGAACCCTAGACTAGAACCCAAAGAGACACCTAGACTAGACCCATAAAGAACGCTAGACTAGAATCCAAAGAGAACCCTAGACTAGAACCCAAAAAGAACCCTAGACTGGAACCCAAAGAGAACCCTAGACTAGAACCCAAAGAGAACCCTAGAATAGAACTCATAGAGAACCCAAGACTAGAACCCAAAGAGAACCCTAGCCTAGAACCCAAAGAGAACCCTAGCCTAGAACCCAAAGAGAACCCTAGACTAGAACCCATAAAGAACCCTAGACTAGAACCCTAAGAGAACCCGTAGAGAACCCTAGACTAGAACCCAAAGAGAACCCTTCGAGAACCCTAGAGAACCCTAGACTAGAACCCTTCGAGAACCCATAGTGAACCCTAGACTATAACCTATAGGGAAACCTAGACTAGAACCATAGAGAACTCTAGACTAGAACCCATAAAAACCCCTAGACTAGAACTCACAAAGAACCAACGACTAGAACCCATAGAGAACCCATAGAGAACCAATAGAGAACCCTAGACAAGAAACCATAGAGAACCCATAGAGGACTCTTGACTAGAACCTAAAGAGAACCCTAGACTTGAACCCGTAGAGAACCCTATGAGAACCCTATAGAGAACTCTAGACTATAACTCAAAGAACCCTTGACTAGAACCCACAGAGAACCCTAGACTAGAACCTATAGAGAACCCTAAACTAGAAACCATACAAAACCCTAGACTAGAACCCATAGAGAACCCTAGACTAGAACCCATAAAGAACCCTAGGGTAGAAGCCATAGAGAACCCTAGACTAGAACCCATAGAGAACCCTAGATTAGAACCCATAAAGAACCCATGGAGACTAGCCTTATAAATTTTGCCTAGAAATAAATGATAAACTGTAAGAGTTCAGATATTGGCGATACAAAATAGAATCGTGGCCAATTTCTAACTTGTTTTGTTTTAGTATCAAGGCCGTCCAATGCATGTTGTTGCACTGCGCCCTGATTTCAATCTTGGGTTTCAAGTTATCGAGCGAAGCGCAGACATTTTTTTGCCCCTCATGGGCGATTCTGCCCGGCTCTGCACTGGCCTTAAGAATGCTTTTATTTCATAATATGTCTACTACATGTCCCCTATGTAGCCCATTGTAGTCCCAATTCAAGGACTATACATTTTAATTTATCCCTTCGTATAGTTTTGTATTACGAGTCCTGAGTAGTCTCCTGAAGACTATCTTTAGTCCTCCGTCCTCATTATACTCCCCCATCCCTCCTCTACTAATGTAGTCTTCCCCTGGCCTTTATGTGGGTTGCGGGAAGACATGTCAAACACTTGCATAATGCAAATACTTGCATAATGCAAATACTTGCATAATGCAAATACTTGCATAATGCAAATACTTGCATAATGCAAATACTTGCATAATGCAAATACTTGCATAATGCAAATAGCTATAATGGTTTACTAACCACTTTGCAGATGGGGATGCAAGTTATTTTTTCACCTACCACACCTGATTTCAACCTTTACCAATAAATCCCGGGGGTTAGATAACTACTGCCCCCCCCCCAGTATACTCGCCTGATCTTTCTATTATTTTTATATAAAACTGTGAAATTAATGTTGTTATCTAGCAAATAATTTCACTACTTGCTTGAACATCAACTTATTAAGGAAAGTTAATTGCAGTTGCGTATACTCTGCGTACATTTGGAAAATTTTGGAAAATTTTGATAATTCACATAATAGTTTCCTATGAGCAGAATATTTCATTGATTTTTATGTAAAAGATGGATCCCATGTCAGGCTGTGACATCCGTCTTGCATTTACATTACCGTCCAGAGACAGTACACTGCAGTACAAAAGATGCTCACATCTCTAAAATAACTTTCCTTACTTTATAACCTTGGACCCGTGTACAGTGTTAACCACGCAATTGCTGTATTTGATGCCCCATGAAGTATTTAAAGTCAAATATTGAATCTATCAAGTCGTTATCATATTCGGCAGCATTATATTTTATTGCTTTATTATGAAGGCTTATATAAATGTTTTCCCTTTATACGCCAAAAAGTCATACAATATTCAGTTCAAGGCTCTAAAAGTTCTTGTCCAAGAAATGCAAATCTAAATTTGCATTTTTCTCATCGACAAAAAAAGTTTTGAGATGAGAGTATGAATAAACTGGTAAAATTATGCCCTGGCCAGGACCTGGCTACTACAGGGTGTCCCAAAATACATGGGCATTGAGAGAAGACTTGAATATGACAGAAAGGTCATCAAAAAAAGGTCAAACTTCTTTGTATTTTTAAAATTGACGAAGATATCAAACATTTGCAGTTTTGTTGAGTTTTAATAAACTTGAATCTGGACAAATAATCACGTATGGAACAAAGACGATATAGAAGTCGTGATTTAATTCCCATGTTTATTTGGACACCCTGCAGTATATCGTATCTACAGAGTGAGTTAAAAAACAGTCCACTGAAATGCACCTTTAAAGTGGGTAAACATATTATTAAGAAAAAATATATTTCTTAATTCCGAACGAATTCTTGTTGATATAAAAATGCAAATATTTTACGTCTAATTAATTAAAAAACAGAGATTTCAATGTCGTCATTATAGCTGTTTATTTGTACCTGCTCCCTGTACCGCCTATCAGGGCTTATTGGGTCGTAAATGTAGATTACACGGAATAATTAATGTAAGCTCAATGAAAATATGTTTACCTTTCTCAGTCTATTGTATTCTACAACTGTATAAGGTAGCTAACTTTAACTATCTACAATTCGGAACTTTAAAACGTCAAGTGGAAGGCATTTTTTATGTAAAGAACAAATGTAAAGTTTATTTGTCATGTTTTTTATTAAAATATTGAGCACTCGAAAAATTCGAGTTTTATTATAACTTTTTTTATCATTTCGTTTTTGTCATGCTGACAATGTTCATACATCTATAATTTTATACTTAAGATGTATTTTTATCAATTATTTATAATTCTGAATTGTTTTGAAAGTAAACATGGACTTTTACTTGGATTGAAATCTTTCGTTAAAGTTAAATTTACTATTTCATTTACAGTTACCAACACTTTTAAAAACTCAGAAATTTTAAAAGATCTCTCGACTTCTAAATTGACATTCCGAATAAGGATTTATGAGAATATCTTCCCTCCTATGCACTTCTTAAGATATGGAATAACCTGCCACTTGATCTAAAAGGAAGTGCCTCGCGCGGCAGTCAGATTAAAAAAAGGTTTATCAGAAATGCTATTTTAATCAAACATAAAAAATTAATATAATATTTTTGTACAATTCTTGCTTAATCTTATACATCCCAATCTTAAAAACTAAACTAATTTACGTATTTATGTGGCACCTTGGTAAACTAGTAATATTCAAATTCAATTTATTGTAAACTTTCAAACCTAGAAATATTCAACATCTTGTAAACGTATTAATACCTTGGAAAACTAGTAATATTCAAATTCAATTTATTGTAAACTTTCAAATCCTATTAATATTCAACATCTTGTAAACGTATTTATGTTTCACCTTAAGGTAAACGAGTAATATTCAACATCTTGTAAACGTATTTATGTTGCACCTTAAGGTAAACGAGTAATATTCAATTTATTGTAAACTTTAAATCCTTGTAATATTTAACATCTTGTAAACGTTTTTTTTTATTAATTAGGTGGGGATAATACCCAAAACAGTGTAAGCAGTGTAACATTATAATTGTTATATGTATTGTTAGCAATAAAATATATATTATCTTATTTTATCTAATCTTAACTTAAGGCCTTTTGTAAAGAAAAGGCTATTTTCTTTATCCCAATGAATGAGGGAATTATTAAATCATATCACTTTGTCAACGTGAAATGGGTCGACATGGGATCCATCTTTCACATAGAAAATCAATGAAACATTCTTGTCATAGGAATAGGAAACTATTATGTGAATTTTCAAAATTATCAAAGTTTAATGCTTTTATACTCCTCGGATACTAAACGAACACTGATGCATCTATTCTTGTTTACAAATTCCGCCCAGAGAGAACTGGTTTCAATATGTTTGCAGAGTATATGCAACTGCAATTATCTTTCCTTGCATTATAACCTTGCTCATATTGATAATTTTTACCTAGCCTTATTGATTTGTCTTCAAACGTCACCAAAATATTTAGTTCCGCGAAATGCAACTTTTAAATTTTTCTTTCAAAATATTTTTTTGAACTTACAACGATAGAAATGTAAAAATCGTCCCAACATAAGCTTAAAGGGATAAAGCAGTAATACCCACAAAAGCTGAGTCTTCAGAGACGACTGTCAGAAACTTTAAATTAAATAAAAGACCATATTCAAGACACACGATTGTAAAGTAACATCTAAAAACTCGGAAATGTCTCGAAAGTAAAGGAAACAGATTCAAAATTCTTAGATTTCTTTCTGAAATAATGTTTAACCCCCNTGAAATGTTGAAATGATTTATGATTGTAGATAACAGTCTTACACAGAAATTGTTATTTCAAATCTTGTTTAAAATAAGGATAATATTCAATAAGCTTGTTTAAAATAAGGATAATATTCAATAACCTTGTTTAAACTTGATATCCTTTAAACAAGAAATTTTAGACTGAAATTTATAAAACTTTGCAAACTTTTAATAATAAAGTTTTTATTTTTAGGAAAGGTTTTCGAAATGGAGATCGGAGGCCAACCTGTCTTTCTTTATATACTTGCTGCCATGTCAGCGGTTGGAGGTATGCATAATTTCTGTCATGTTTAGCAGTAGGACGTAGGAATACTAGCTGTCATGTCAGCAGTAAGAAGTAGGAATACTATATAGATGTCATGTTAGTCGTAAGAGGTAGAAATCCTAGCTGTCATGTCAGCTGTAAGAGGTAGGAATACTAGCTGTCATGTCAGCAGTAAGAAGTAGGAATACTATATAGATGTCATGTTAGTCGTAAGAGGTAGAAATCCTAGCTGTCATGTCAGCTGTAAGAGGTAGGAATACTAGCTGTCATGTCAGCAGTAAGAAGTAGGAATACTGCAGGGTGTCCCAAAAAACATGGGAATTCAGTGACGAATTCGATATCGTCTGTTCAAATAATTCTTTGATTTTGTATAGTGATACCTACTGAGAAAGCTGTAATCTGTAAGAGTTTCGTCTGCTATGTTTACATTTTGTTTGTTTATGTTTTGACTGCAACCGGTTGTACACAGTAAAACAAGAAAATTACAGTATACAAACAGAGTAAACTTGTCCGTATTCACTGTTCATCTTGCGGAGACATTATAGACACATCTTTGCAGTCTTTTACCCTTTTCATTAAATAAACTCTAGCAGACATAATACCATTATGGCTTTTGAAATTAGGTATTACAATGCTAATTCATAACAAAGACGATATCGAATTCGTCACTGAATTCCCATGTTTTTTGGGACACCCTGTATATAGAAGTCATGTCAGTCGTAAGAGGTAGAAAAACTTGCTGTCATGTTAGCAGTAAGAGGTAGAAATCCTAGCTGTCATGTCAGCAGTAAGAGGTAGGAATACTAGCTGTCATGTAGCAGTAAGAGGTAGGAATACTAGATGTCATGTCAACAGCAAGAGGTAGGAATACTAGCAGTCATGTCAGCAGTAAGAGGTATACTAGCTGTCATGTCAGCAGTAAGAGGTAGAAATTCTAGTTGTCATGTCAGCAGTAAGAGGTATGAATACTAGCTGTCATGTCAGCATTAGGAGCATTAGCATAGTCTAAATGATAAAGACTGTTGTTGGAATTATATTATACAAGCTGGAGTGCTCGGTGTTGCCCAGGTTTATACTATTATTCATAGTCATAGTTACTCACACCCTTTGCCCGCGCTGATCCAATCAGGGTTCAGTCATGTATTTGTTGTCTATTCTGAACCAATATAAATTGCATGGCGGTAACCTCTATCTTTCTATCTAGCTCATTATCCAATTGAGATAAATCCTTCAATCCGCGCTATAACAGTAAATGGAAATATTTACTTTTACTAAAACTATAGTGCGGCGTAGCCCAGGGAGTTTCAAAATGTCCAAATTTTTTTAGCCTATGTCACTTCCGGGGTATTCATGGGTTTCCTAAAATAATATTATTCAATTTGATCCAGCCGTTTAGCCAGCTAAAAAGAGAAGATCTTGGTAGGCCCCCAAATATAAATATATATATATATATATATATAAGCACCAATCACAAAACAAAATAGTTTTTTGTGAAATATACTTAAATTTGTGCTTTTATTGTACTTTATTTTTTAAGTATTTCCCAAAAACAAGCCAATATACAGACAAAACAAATATATAAATAGNAGAGTTTGAAAATAAAAGTTGAAATTTTATATTTTCGTTTTGGATTTTGAAATCTCACTACCGCCAATACCAAAGTTTGAAAAGAAAAGTTAAATTTTTTATTCTCATTTTGGATTTTCAAATCTCACTTTTTATTTTTTTCATGAATCTCACTACCTTAGAACTTGACACTATATACTTTTATTTTATACATTATTATATATTTTATACCTACAGGCGTTGTCCAGGGTAGTCATAGTTACTCCCGCCGTTTACCCACACTTGGTCGATTTAACCGAGAAATTAAATTTTCGATTCACTCTTAACTTAGAATCTTAAAACCAAGCTGAGAACATTCCCGTGGTTCTCCCGAGTTCCCTAATCAAAGTTTAAGGTAAATTGGTCCAGGGGTTTCTGAGTTATGATCGGAATAACAAACAGACTGACAAACAGAAATTACAACTTCATATATATAGATATAGATGTTATAATATAATTATTATTTATAAAGATAATTATCTATCTATCTATATATAATATATATATACTTTGCTTGTCTTGGTGTCTGTTTGTTTGTTTGTTTGTCTGTATCCAATTAACTCCAAAACGGCAGAACCGATCCGGACCAAACTTTTAGTGGGAGATAACGTGACCCCAAGGAAGGTTCATGAATGATCAAAATTTCAAACATTTACCTCTAACAAAATTTGATTGTCATTAAGTTTTGAAAATCAACGAATTTTTTTTTATTATTTTGTGTTATATACAAATAGACAATGTTTACAATTAAAACAGAAGATGGACGCCAAGCGCCCTGTAAGCTTAGTATACATATACTTTGATTGTCAGTTTGTTTGTAACCGATAAACGTCAAAACGACTGAACTGATCGGACCCAAATTTTTTTTTTTTTTGAAAATGCGCTCATCAAAAAAATCCGCTAAAGTTTGAAAAATGATTAATAATGTCAGAATTTTCGAGGAACAGTTAAAAACTAAAATTATTTACAGAAAATTGGGCGCAAAGTCTATTATTACATATTTTAATATAACCAACTGTAAAGAAATGTAGTGCTAAATAAATATTATACAATATACCATTTACAAAACTAATACTATCAGTTTGTATAATTTTTCTCTTATTACATATAACTAGATTCACATCAAATATATAACCCAACAACGACTGGTTATATAGCTTAAATAACACAAAAAAAATGGAATAAAGAAAATTAAAAAATTCACTCTAGTTTTAAAGCAGATGTTACAAATACTATCGTTGATTTCAATTGATTCTAGTAAATATGTTTCTACCAATTATTATTATTATGATACAACTGTATCGAAGGAGGGAACCTCCGGACTCCATGGACTCGAGCCTCCCAGATGTGCTAGGCAGACCAAGGCTCCGCTATGCAGAAATAAGCATGGGCAATACATCAAAATGTGCCTTTGTAATACAAACAGTTTTTTCAACTAGTGTTTTAAATTTGTTTTTTTTACACTTATTGTTTTATATGCTCAGTGGAATATTAAAAATCTTAACTCAAGTTTTCTTATTACACAGTGTTAAAGGTGTCACTGCAGGATCAATTGGAATCATCCTGAATAAATTACTATATATTTTTCAAGGATTTCTGTTTGGGTACGACACCGGAGTAGTGTCCGGAGCAATGTTGATGGTTGATCATGATCTTCTGGGAACCTTAGATGACAGTAAGCTTAGTTATTTTTTTCCGTGCATTTAGTTTTTTCGCAGATTTTATATTTATTATTGGTCGGATTTCGCACTTACTATAGTTAGATACAATTAAGAAACCAATTACTGTGGATAATTGTCTACTTTTTATCTTTAAGCTTTCCCGAGGTCATGTAAACAAGATTAATAGAAAATTTTTAAGTCAGAGCTGAAAGCTTTAGAATGGTGGATATTTAGATGAATGATTGATCCTCTCTTTTTCTTAACATAAAGACTAACCTAATTTTGTACTTGTATCCTGAAAAGTGTATAAAATTCAACCAATCAGAGTCGCATATAAGTAGCCGATAAATTTGAAATTTTGCGCGCTATTTAAGATTAATATACAGAAATTTGAAAAAAAAACTGGTTTTTGATTTTTCTCTACTATATCCAAGAAAGAATGGTTTAAGAAGAAAATCAAAAATGTGTCCATTGGATACTCAGATTAAGTAATGGGATTATGTATATCTCATTATAAAGTTTCCAGCTCTGATTCGATTTTTTGACTTTTTTAATTTCGGAAAAAGGTAACCCATGTCTCTAACCACCCATTTGTCCAATTAGGTCTTCAACAAAATTCGGACCCAACGGTTTTAAATTTTGTGAAAACAAATATCAAGAGACAACACAAAAAATGCTTAGAAAAAATTTTTTGAATAATTCTTTTTGATTTGAACTAATGAAAGATTATTCTGCCAGTTACCCGTGAGCTGTGGCACGAGATCATTGTGACCGGAACTATAGTTACTGCCGCCATCTTCTCCATAGTGTCAGGCTTCATCAGTCAACGGTTAGTGCCGCCATTTTAAATCAGCCATCTTTTTTAGATTTTAAAGGGACAATTAGGCGTAATTAATGGAGTGGCTTATCGTAACACACAAAAAACTTAAATTTTAAATTGCGGTTTTCGGTAAAAGTAACTTTTCGATTTATGCTATTGAAGTAGGACATAAAAAGTAAATTGTCAGATTTCAGAGAGAAAACGACGATATCTTCCTCATTGTTGCTCAGATAAAAGTTTGAATTGTACTGTTGTTCATCTGACATGCCCCTCTAAACATGGAGGATCGACTGAATTTCGTGATCAGATAAAATGAGTTAAACAATTAAAAAAGGTGAAGCAATGAATGTCTCCTTATTTTAGTTTCATGGTTATAATGCGAAAACGTTCAATGTTTGCGAATTCAAAAAAGATAAAACTTTTCGTTATACTTCCAAGTGGATTCAAAAGTTTAAATTAGTTTTTGAAAAATAAAAATTTTCATTCAAGTGACACACAAAATAGAAAAAATTTATAAAATAAATGATTGTTCTGTGTATTTTTAATAGGCTTTAAATTAAACCTTCATAAATGTCGTGTCGTGCTCTCCGAACCAATTGCATGTTGAGAAATTGGGATTAGATCATATTCATGTTTTAAGAAATAATAATAAGAATTTATATTTTTTTATTAATTCCGTAGAGCAAAAACTACGAATTTGACATCTAGCCAATTATTCTTTGCATGTTTGCCCCAATATGCGTAGTTTCCATTTATTTTGATGCATATTTTGATGCATATTTTGATGCATATTTTGATGCATATTTGATGCATATTTGATGCATATTTTGATGCATATTTGATGCATATTTGATAAATATTTTGATGCATGACTATTGACTACTGACTACTGACTACTGACTACTGACTACTGACTACTGACTACTGAGACTATACTGACTATACTGACTATACTGACTATGCTGACTATACTGACTATACTGACTATACTGACTATACTGACTATACTGATTTTACTGACTATACTGATTTTACTGACTATACTGACTACACTGACTATGCTGACTATACTGACTATACTGACTATGCTGACTATACTGACTATACTGACTATGCTGACTATACTGACTATGCTGAGTATGCTGACTTTACTGACTATACTGACTATACTGACTACTGACTACTGACTACTGACTACTGACCACTGACTACACTGACTACACTGACTAACTACTGAATATACTGACTATACTGACTATACTGACTATACTGACTACACTGACTGACTACTGACTTTACTGACTGACTATACCGACTATACTGACTATACTGACTATACTGACTATACTGACTACTGACTACTGACTATACTGACTATACTGACTACTGACTACTGACAACTTACTACTGACTACTGACTACTGACTACTGACTACTGACTACTGACTTCTGACTACACTGTCTGACTACTGACTATACTGATTATTATATAGGTTTGGAAGGAAACCTGCAATGTTGATTGGATCTCTTCTATTTACTGCTGGAGCTGTTGTAATGGCGGTAGCTAATAGTAAAGAAATTCTCCTAGTGGGAAGGTAAATGAATAGATTGATTTGAATATTTAATACATCTTAAATATGTATGGGAAGTAAAGTAAATTCTGGGGAAAATTATTTACTTTCCACAATTTTTCTGTGGAAACTAGTTGGAAAATAACTCGTTTAAGGCATTGATTAGATCTCGGAAACAATGTTTTTATATCTAGAAATAAAACAAATTATACAGATCTTAAAAAACAGGTTTTTTTATCTAGAAATTATTATTATTATTATAAAGATTTATTCACATAAATTTTCACCATTTCCTGAAGACCTGTTCTGCTAGGAGAAAGCAGGATAATATCATCTGCATATACATTAAACATACTGAGTAGGTGTTTAGATCTAGAAATTAGACATATTTAACAGATCTAGAAAAACAAACTTAACAGATCTGGAAAAACATACTTAACAGATTCATAAATGCATACTTAACAGATGCATATAAAAACATACTTAACAGATCCATAAAAACATACTTTATAGATCAAGAAAAACGTAAATAACAGATCCATAAAACATATTTAACAGATTTATAAAAGCATACTTAACAGATCCATAAAAAATACTTTATAGATCAAGAAAAACGTAAATAACAGATCCATAAAAACATACTTAACAGATCTATAAAAACATACTTAACAGATCCAAAAAAAACCTACTTAAGAGATCTAGAAAAACGTAAATAACAGATCCATTAAACATATTTAACAGATTTGTAAGAGATTAACAAAACTTTATATTCTAGTTTCTATATTCAAAAATAAAACTGCTCTACTATCCTTCTTTTTTATTTATTGACTATTGTGTGATTCTTTATCTTACTTGAAATAAATCGGAGTTCCAAGTTCTGGTCTCAAATAAGCAAGTTGAAAACATAGATGATATTTTATTAATCTTGAAGCATACTTAACAGATCCATAAAAAATACTTTATAGATCAAGAAAAACGTAAATAACAGATCCATAAAAACATACTTAACAGATCTATAAAAACATACTTAACAGATCCAAAAAAAACCTACTTAAGAGATCTAGAAAAACGTAAATAACAGATCTAGAAAAACATTTTAAACAGATCTAGAAAAACATTTTTAACAGATCTAGAAAAATGATAAAGAAATGTTGAAAGAAATTATATAAATGCCAGTGTTTAGAATAAAAAATAATGTTTACTTGATAGATTGATAGTTGGGGCAGGATTAGGTTTTGCTAGTGCTACAGTTCCCCTGTACATTGCAGAGGTTAGCCCGGAGGAAATTAGGTAAACTCTTAGATAAACTCCTTGATAAACTCCTTGATAAACTCTTAGATAAACCCCTTGATAAACTCCTTGATAAACTCTTAGATAAACTCCTTGATAAACTCTTTGATAAACTCCTTGATAAATTCCTTGATAAATTCCTTGATAAATTCCTTGATAAACTCCTTGATAAACTCCTTGATAAACTCCTTGATAAACTCCTTGATAAACTCCTTGATAAACTCCTTGATAAACTCCTTGATAAACTCATTGATAAACTCCTTGATAAACTCTGATAAACTCCTTGATTGACTCCTTGATAAACTCATTGATAAACTCATTGATAAACTCATTGATAAACTCATCGATAAACTCATTGATAAACTCATTGATAAACTCATTGATAAACTACTTACTTTTCTGACTGCTTTTGTCTATTCTATGATTCGTGTTGGACTCAAAACAACAATGACATGCTTGCGTAAAGCTCTAGTTTGTTCTAGGGGTGAAATTTTTAACATTTTATATAATTGCAATAAATAAATGAACACATTTTTGTTTTAGAGGGAGATTAACTACATTTAATCAAATCATGATAACCTTTGGTATATTCTGTTCTAATATTATAGGTAAGAAAATCAATTTGAAAATATTAAAATATAACATTAAACAATTTACCAGATTAAAGGAATTCTTGATATTAAAATATAACATTAAACAATTTACCAGATTAAAGGAATTCTTGATATTAAAATTTTCCAGATATCTGAATTTAAACCCTACAAAATCCAGCAAAAAAATGAGAAGATGGACCAAACTTTATGAATAGCGATAGCGATTCAAACAGTTATTGTGTGCGCCTGGAACCTAAAAAAACGAGAAGTAGCTGAACTGTGCAAACGTGATTCAACTTCTTCTCTTGTGCGCCAGTTCAAGCTGAAGAAAAAAGGCTGAACCATGTCTACCTGGGTCAACAATTACTCGCTATTCAAAATGTCTGGTCCCTTGTCAAGCCAAAAAAAGAAGAAAAAATAGTTGAATTGTTTAGATGTTTAAAATGATAAAAAAGTTTAAGGACTTTCTCCAATGAAATTATATATTTTTTTTGGTAATAAAAACAAAATATTAATCAAAACAATTTTTACTTTCATAATATATACTTAAATTTCATATATTTCATAATTTAAGTTACATTTTATGTTTATTTAAATCTTTATATGGAAGGCCACTCTTGAAATTATGCCTGTACAGTCCCTTTAAGACGATATTTATATTATTGTTAGACGGTTTATTTGCTGAGGTGGATCAAGGATGGAAATATGATTTTGGTATTGGTGGAATACCATCCATTCTTCTTCTCATCGGATTCTTCTTCTGTCCAGAATCTCCCAGGAAAGTATAAATATTAATATAATATATATATATATATGTATATATATTTCTGGTTTTCTTTAGATGGTTAGTAAAGGGCGGTAGGGTGGACGAAGCTAGAGTTATTTTAAAGAAAATAAGAGCAAAGGGATTCGACACAGAGCAGGTAACATATAGAGAAGAGACAGACTCAAGAATACAGAGCAGGGTTAATATAGAATATATACAGACTCAATGACACAGAGCAGGTATAATATAGAAAATATACAGACTGAAGGACACAGAGCAGGTATAATATAGAAAATATACAGGTTGAGGGACACAGAGCAGGTATAATATAGAAAATATCAGACTCAAGGACACAGAGCAGGAATAATGTAGAAATATAGAGAAAACTGAAGAATAATCAGTAAGTTGGTCTGATTGTTTCTTAATTTAACACTCAGTAAAAAAATTAGATTTTCTCAATTTCATACATGCCTGCATTTATGTTCTCTAGCCAAATTCAGAGCATTAAGATAAAATATAAACTTTTATTGCGCTATCTCAAATATTTTTCTTAATCCTGTAAACTTTATGGATTAAATAAAACCTAGATTTGTTCCAATTTAAAGCACTTAAGGTTACTAAAAGAAGGGGGAGGGGTCCAAATGTTGGCTTAAAGGAAAAGATTGCCTGAAATTTCTCCAAGAATAGATATAATCAATTAATACTTAAATAATATCAAATTCATCTGTTTACTTGAAAATAAGGAATTTCTTAAATCAAGTATTCTATTATTATTCTATTTTTTCATTGAGCCACAAACTCGGTTTTTCTAATCCCTTTATCTTTTCAACCAAATGTCGTAGACCTTGGATATTTCAAACTATGAATTCTGTTTAATCAAACAATCAAAGTTTTAATTATCAAAGGTTTACAACATCAGGTTTCAAAGATATAGGGATCAGAAAATTTGAGTTTGTTGCAAAAATGAAATTCCTTTTTCAGGAGCTCCAAGAGATAGTGCAGGTGTGCCGGGAGGAAGAGAAATATCAGAGTGGAAATAGGTAAATCTGAACAGAGAAATTTCAGAGAAATAGAGAAACATCAGAGAAATAGAGAAATATCAGAGTGGAAATAGGTAAATCTGAATAGAGAAATAGAGAAATATCAGAGAAATAGAGAAATATCAGAGAAATAGAGAAATATCAGAGAAATAGAGAAATATCAGAGAAATAGAGAAATAACAGAAAAATAGAGAAATATCAGAGTGGAAATAAGTAAATCTGAATAGAGAAATATCAGAGAAAAAGAGAAATATCACAGAAATAGAGAAATATCAGAGTGGAAATAAGTAAATCTAAATAGAGAAATATCAGAGAAAAAGAGAAATAACAGAGAAATAGAGAAATATCAGAGTGGAAATAAGTAAATCTAAATAGAGAAATATCAGAAAAAAAGAGAAATATCAGAGTGGAAAAAGGAAAATCAGAAAACAAATATCTTTGAAAATTGAGTAAATTTATTATTGCATGGAGTTGAAGGAACTGAGTTCTTGCCGCAGAACTTTGATTTTATAATACCTATATTTATAATACCAATATCTTTGCTATTTAATGTAGCTCTTTGATATTTCAAACTTTGCATTCCTGTTTGATGAAATATTTGATGTTAATACCATCCTGCTGCAAAGATAAAAAGATTAGAAAATTACGTTTGGTTCAAAGATTTTATCCTTTTTTTGTATAATTTAAATTTGTTTTCCCCCCCGGCTGCACAGTGCATTAAATCCATCAACAAAGTAAAAAATGAGCACATACAATTCTAATTTTTTTTTTTTTTTTTTTTTGGGGGGGGGGGTTACAGTTTTAGATGCATACACATACACATTTTGCTTTTACCTTGTTACATTTACTAAATATCACATTGTCTGTAAATTGTATGCTTGTCCGGAATTTGAACAGCATTTTTGTGGATAAAAAATCCATTATCCTTGTTCAGTCAATGGTTTAAAGGGTACCGTTGTGAATCAGAGAATACAGTCATCTTAAAATTACATTTACAGTCATCTTTGAATTTTTGCGCGCTTATATAATATTCAGTATATTTATCTCATTTATTGAAAGAGGCCACAGTTAACACGGTGAACTTTTTTGTCTCTCATGCAAATCCAAATGAAGATATTAAATATCTTTGCATGGGACTAAATTATCACTGACCTGTGTTTAGTCCAGGGTTTCCAGCGAAAAGGGGAAATCTGTTGGCGAAAATTTCGCAAAAAAAATTTAAAATTCAAAATTCTCTTCATAAAACATTTATGGAAGTAAAGGAAGAGAAATTATTTATTATGATATAATTAAACTTCTAATAAAGAGCTCTCAGAGCAGAAATTTTCACAAGTTTTTTCCGCAATTAATTGTTGCAGCGACAACACTTCAGGTTTTCACGGAATTTTTTTCGCAAAATTTGTTTTCGCGAACTTTCTCTTTACTAAAAAATGCGAAATTTGGTGAAAAAGCTTTCGAAATACGTACGCAAAATTTCCGCATTTTTTCGCAAAAGTTTTCGTTCGTTGAAACCCTAGTTTAGTCCCCATGACAGCATGAATAAAAAAAGTTTTTTTCCAAATTAGTTTGTTTAGATCAGTATTAAACTATCTTTTCTCCTTCAGAATTTGATTTGTGTTTCTGCTAAAAATTGAAAATGCAGGACATAGAAAACATTACCATCCAAAAAAAGCATTTTAAATCATGATAAAGAGAAATCTTAAAAAAATATGAGAAATGAAAAATGAAAATTCTTTTTAATTTCTAAACTTTTCTGAACAGAAAACTTTTTAAACACATACACAGAACGTGAAGTATATCTAAACATGTGCGATTTAAATTTTGATAAATAATCTCTAAAATGTTCTTCAGTGAATCTATGATGTTACGAATATTGAAGAGTGGGTATGTTATGAAAGCTCTTATGGTTGGATGCTTTATGCAGCTTTTCCAGCAGTTAGGGGGCATTAATACAGGTTTTTTTTCTACTAGTTAGGGGGCATTAATACAGGTTTTTTTCTACTAGTTAGGGGGCATTAATACAGGTTTTTTTCTACTAGTTAGGGGGCATTAATATAGGTTTTTGTCTAGTAGTTAGGGGTAATCAATGCATGTTTTTCAATAGTTCGGGAGCATCAATACAGGTTCTTTTTGTAGTAGTTAGGAGGGTTAAATTATAATGATTTTTGAATTCATCAATATAATCTATAATCTTAATGAGGTATTGTGTTTCATTCCTTATTTTAATTATCTAGTGATCTTTAATTTCTATTTCATGGATGTGTTTTATTTCAGTGATATATTGTACTCAAATCTTTATTTTAAAGTGACTGTTCGCGAAAAATGAAAGGGGTTATAGACTTACGGCGAAAAATAAGCGCTTTTGATCGCTACTAATCTTACTTCTATCTGTTGCGTCTATAAGGAGAAAATTGTTAAAACAACTCATACCGAAGAACTTAGCGTTCATACAAATTCAGAAAGATGCAACATTCAACTCTGATCGTTAAAAATCAATTTAATACCAAACAAATCATTCAGATAATAGTCATCGATTGTTTTTCGACGCATTCGTACATAGTTGATATTTCATAATAATTTTGATTTTTTGATTTTTCGCGAACACTCCCTTTAAGTGGTCTTCTGAACTTAATATTTTTCTTTTATGACTTGTATCCCAACCTTTATTTTTGATGATGCAATGTAATATCATCTTTATTTTAGTTATGTATTACTCCGCCACCATTATACAAACAACGGGGATATCGTCTTCACAGGCAACTGTCATCTGGATTACAGCAGCTGTCAGCGCGGTCAACGTAATTAGTACTCTACCAGGTAAACTTATTTGGAATGCTAATCATATTCTAAATTAGGATCAATGATTAATCTTCATTATTGTGCAGACCTAGTGATTAATTTAATTACTCTTCGATATTCAGCCGTGTTCATATCAATCAATGCTTGATCCCCTAATTTAAAAGTGCCCGCATTGAATATCAAGATTAATCGTTCCGGATTTATATTACACCCTCAAATATTTCCGAGCTCTGCTCTAATATTAATACATGTACCTGACCTGCTCTAATATTTAACACATGTACCTGACCTGCTCTAATATTTAACACATGTACCTGACCTGCTCTAATATTTAACAAATGTACCTGACCTGCTCTAATATTTAACAAATGTACCTGACCTGCTCTAATATTTAACACATGTACCTGACCTGCTCTAATGTTTATAGGTATATACCTGACCTGCTCTAATATCTAGGTATATACCCGACCTGCTCTAATGTTTATAAGTATATACCTGACCTGCTCAAGTATTTAGGTATGTACAGTGATCACCAGAAAACAATGGAATAGGAAGACTACTTCATAGCAATACTTAAGTGTATTTTATGGTGTTACAAAGCAAATAATTTCATCAGACACTTATAAACAACTTTTTGTGAAATGGGTCTGTTTACACTGCACAATAGCTGTGTTTCATGGTTATTGAACTTTTTAAAGATAAACTTGATTCTAAAAGTCTTCTTACTATTCCAGAGCTTTCTGGTTATCACTGCACCTGACCTATCTAGGTATATAACTGACCTGCTCTTATATCTAGATATATACCTGACCTGCTCTAATATCTAGGTATATACCTGACTTGCTCTAATATCTAGGTATATACCTGACATGCTCTAATATCTAGGTATATACCTGACCAGCTCTAATATCTAGGTATATACCTGACCTGCTCTTATATCTAGGTATATACCTGACCTGCTCTAATAACTAGGTATAAACGTGACTTGCTCCAATATACTGGTATATACCTAACCTAAACCAGCTATAAAACTGACCTGCTCTAATATCTAGGTATAAACCTGACCTGCTCTAATTTCTATGTATAAACCTGACCTGCTCTAATGTCTTGGCATATACCCGACCTGCTCTAATATCTAGGTATATACATGACCTGCTCAAATATCTAGATTAATATCTGACCTGCTCTAAAAATTTTGCTATATTCCTGACCTGCTCTTATATCTAGGTTTATACCTGACCTGCTTTTATATCTAGGTATATACCTGACTGCTCTAATATCTGGTATATATCTGACCTGCTCTAATATCTAGGTATCTACCTGACCTGCTCTAATATCAAGGTATCTACCTGACCTGCTATAATATCAAGGTATCTACCTGACCTTCTCTAATATCTAGGTATCTACCTGACCTGCTCTAATATCTAGGTATCTACCTGACCTGCTCTAATATCTTGGTATCTACCTGACCTGCTCACATATTAAGGTATCTACCTGACCTGCTCTAATATCTAGGTATCTACCTGACCTGCTCTAATATTAAGGTATCTACCTGACCTGCTCTAATATCTAGGTATCTACCTGACCTGCTCTAATATTAAGGTATCTACCTGACCTGCTCTAATATTACCTGACCTGCTCTAATATTAAGGTATCTACCTGACCTGCTCTAATATCTAGGTATATACCTGACTTGCTCTAATATTAAGGTATGTACCTGATTGAAAGATGGGGTAGAAGGATGCTTACTCTCATCTCTATGATTGGAATAATTCTGTCTCTGGTTCTCCTTGCTGTTGGGTTTCATCTTGTAAGGTATAAACATCTGTAATATCTTGAAATCAGACTAAATCCTAAGAAACTAAAGTAAAACTATTTTTAGGTCTTTGATATTTGTTTGACATTTATTGGTTAACTTAGACTTTTGATTCTTTACACGGTTATATAACTTAATAGATGTGTCTGTAGCATAGCTCATTTGACAGTTTCTCATTTTGTTAAATATTAAAAACAAACAAGGTAGTGCTTGGTAAATATTAAAGGGAATATTTGGTAAATATTAAAGGGAATATTTGGTAAATATTAAAGGGAGTATTTGGTAAATATTAAAGGGAGTAGTTGGTAAATATTAAAGGGAATATTCGGTAAATATTAAAGGGAATATTGGGTAAATATTAAAGGGAGTATTTGGTAAATATTAAAGGGACTAATTGGTAAATATTGAAGGAAGTATTTGGTAAATATTGAAGGGAGTATTTGGTAAATATTGAAGGGAGTATTTGGTAAATATTGAAGGGAGTATTTGGTAAATATTGAAGGGAGTATTTGGTAAATATTGTATGGAGTATTTGGTAAATATTAAAGGGAATATTCGGTAAATATTAAAGGGAGTATTTAGTAAATATTAAAGGGAGTATTTGGTAAATATTAAAGGGAGTATTTGGTAAATATTAAAGGGAATATTTGGTAAATATTAAAGGGAGTTATTGGTAAATATTAAAGGGATTAATTGTTAAATATTAAAGGGAGTATTCGGTAAATATTAAAGGGAATATTTGGTAAATATTAAAGTAAATATTTGGTAAATATTAAAGGGAATATTCGGTAAATATTAAAGGGAATATTTGGTAATTATTAAAGGGAGTATTTGGTAAATATTAAAGGGAGTATTTGGTAAATATTAAAGGGAATATTTGGTAAATATTAAAGGGAATATTTGGTAAATATTAAAGGGAATATTTGGTAAATGTTAAAGGGAATATATAAAAGGAAGGACTATTGTTGCAATGTTTAAGTGAGCTTCCATGAAACATGGTTTATGTCTGATATCCAATGGTTCCCTTTAAACCTTTATCTAGTTAATAATGTGAAATCCTCAATTTTTTTTAATTCCAAAAAATGTTTAATGTTATTGAAGTTTAGTCTTGGATTAAACTAAATTTACTAAAACTGAATATTTAGAGAGAACAGTCCTGCTCTTCAATCTAGTGATGGCTCACTTGAACCTTGCTCTTTACAGACCACCTGTACAGGCTGTGTAGACCTTGGGGTAAGTTATATCTTTATATATAAAGTAGTGATCTCTGTTTGTTTGTTTATATGTTATCTTAACTTTTGAATCTTTGGACCGATTTGCCTCAAATTTGATCTTGGGAAATCGGTAGAACTCCAGGAATGTTCTTTACATGGCGTAAAAACTCTCAAATAAGCTATGGGTTGACTTCAATAGATAAAGATCCCAAACAAGTTCTATATATATATGACTGTTTGTCTGTCTGTTAGTTTGTTTGTATGACCGATCATAACTTATGAACCTCTTGTCCGGTTTTCCTCCAATTTTGATTTGGAACTCGAAACCATTCGAGAATGTTTTTTGCTTGGTTCAAAATTTTAAGTTTAACAATTTCAAGTTGAAGAGACAGGGTTATTTCAAGTTGAAGAGACAGCGTTATTTCAAGTTGAAGAGACAGGTTATTTCAAGTTGAAGAGACAGCGTTATTTCAAGTTGAAGAGACAGGTTATTTCAAGTTGAAGAGACAGCGTTATTTCAAGTTGAAGAGACGGCGTTATTTCAAGTTGAAGAGACAGCGTTATTTCAAGTTGAAGAGACAGCGTTATTTCAAGTTGAAGAGACAGGTTATTTCAAGTTGAAGAGACGGCGTTATTTCAAGTTGAAGAGACGGCGTTATTTCAAGTTGAAGAGACAGCGTTATTTCAAGTTGAAGAGACAGGGCTATTTCAAGTTGAAGAGACAGGGTTATTTCAAGTTGAAGAGACAGGGTTATTTCAAGTTGAAGAGACAGGGTTATTTCAAGTTGAAGAGACAGGGTTATTTCAAGTTGAAGAGACAGGGTTATTTCAAGTTGAAGAGACAGGGGTATTTCAAGTTGAAGAGACAGCGTTATTTCATTCAAGTCGAAGAGACAGCGTTATTTCAAGTTGAAGAGACAGTATTATTTCAAGTTGAAGAGACAGGGTTATTTCAAGTTAAAGAGACAGCGTTATTTCAAGTTGAAGAGACAGTATTATTTCAAGTTGAAGAGACAGTATTATTTCAAGTTATTTCAAGTTGAAGAAACAGCGTTATTTCAAGTTGAAGGGACAGCGTTATTTTAAGTCGAAGAGACAGGGTTATTTCAAGTTAAAGAGACAGGGTTATTTCAAGTTGTAGAGACAGCGTTATTTCAAGTCGAAGAGACAGGGTTATTTCAAGTTAAAGAGACAGGGTTATTTCAAGTTGTAGAGACAGCGTTATTTCAAGTTGAAGAGACAGCGTTATTTCAAGTTGAAGAGACAGCGTTATTTCAAGGGTTATTTCAAGTTAAAGAGACAGGGTTATTTTAAGTTGAAGAGACAGCGTTATTTCAAGTTGAAGAGACAGGGTTATTTCAATTTCCCCTCTATGCAAGATGGCAAGAATCGATTCACAACGGTACCCTTGAAACCTTTATCTGATCAATAATGTGGAAGATATTGTCGTTTTCCAGATTTCTTAGTGTTTAACTCTGATTGTTCCTCTCTGTTTTCCTGTAGTAGAAATCTGGAAGTCTCTGTTGTTGAAAAACCACACAAAAAAAACTATTAGTTTTCGATATTATAAACCAGTTGGTCTGTCTGTGTCCTCTCTGGATGTGGTCAAAGTCCGAATTTAATGAATTTGAACCGCGTCTCAAATCCGCCAAAAATCGGTTTCAATTGAGCGCCGGCTTAAATCTTGAAACATTGAATACGATTTTAAGTGGAACCAACCATATTTGAGCCGCGGCTCAAATTCTTTAAATTCGGCCTCAAGTCAGTTTTCTCAAATTATATTTGATAAAAACTAATCCAAAATTAAGAACATTGTGTTAGGATAAAACGAAGAAAATTTGATATATTCTATCAATAATTTGTCTGAAAAATGTATAAAATATAAATAACTTCCTAGATTCTTAAATTCTGACATAATGCATGTACGTCATTTTGAAATTGAAAAGATTTTATTCAGTTGTCTCCGATTTTCATCAAAATAGTCAATAAGTGAGTGATTTTTAAATAATTTCTTATAACAGTGCTTTGTATATAAAACAAATAAAGAATAATATGAAGTATCAACAATATACCAATGCGTCAAAAAAATAGTCGATGATTAGAGATTGTCATATTTGAATGATTGGAATTAAATGATTTTTTTACGTTCCGAGTCGAATTGTTCTTTGGTATGAGTCGTTTTTAACAATTTTCTCCTTATGAACGCAACAGATAGAAGTAAGATTAGCAGCAATCACCATCGAATATTTTTCGACGCAACGTAAGCCTATATACCCCCTTTCATTTTTCGTAAACACTCCCTTTAACTACAGCCTTGTTTATTAGGAATGTGGATTCTGCTACAAGGATGTTGGTAACGGAACCCTACTAGGATACTGTGAACCTGTAACCCTGGAAGATCCAGATACATCCAGCCAAGGGTATTATTATTATTATTATCACCATTTATCTTATTTAAAGGGACTGTAAGCATAGTTTTAAGTGACTCTACATACAGAAAGGGCAATACCCGCTTTACAACGTACCCTTAAAACCTTTTTGCGTTCTTCGGAGTACAGAGATATATGTGTGTTTAAACGTATCGAAACCCGCTGGAAATTCCAGAGACTGGACACTGCGCACATCTATGTAAAATTATGTACTTTAATGATAAATATATATCTATCTAACTATTATTGTATTGTTAAGGTACTGTAGTTCAACTTCAAGTGATTATACTTGGTTAAAGGATCAATGCCCTTCAGGTAAATAAAATCGTAAAAAAATTAACATGACCATGATTCCCCCAAGAGCGGGATGTTATGTGATACTCAACTGTCCCTTGGGACATTTAAATCTCTCTGGATGTTTTATAGGCAAACTTTATCTTGAACTAAATTCTATAATTTAAAATCATTTCTTTGTCCCTTCTTGTAAGCTACGACTTGAAGCATGATACAAATATTTGGATTAGGGTCTCTGCCTTGAATTAAGTTTCTATATGGCAATTCAACCATTTTATCAAAGAAAAAAAATAATAATGAGAAAAAGAATAAAAAAGGCCGCTTAAATTCCGTACAGCCGTCTCTGAAGTCTCATCCTTTGTGGGGTCACTAGGGTTTCCAGTAAAATTGGAGATCTTTCCGTGAAAATTTTTTTGCATTGCCTTTGTTGAAGGAAAATGCGAAACCTCGCGTTTTTTGGCGTTGATTTGTTTTCCGAAAAAATTCGATTTTCTTTTTGGTGGGAAATATTGCACTTCTTGTGTGGCGAAATTTTGTTCATTTTTTTCGCGAAACAGATTTATGCTAAATTGTCGCATTTTGTTTACCGAAATTCCACATCGCTTCTTGTCGTTTCCTTTCGCTTTCGCGAAAGTTTTCGTTCGCTGGAAACATTAGGGATCATCCTGTGAGTTCTACAGGGTGTCCCGCCAAACATGAAAGTTGATAAATAGTTTAAAATGTCTTCTTCCATAATTTGTTAAGTTGTTTGATACCAAATAGCATAATGAAAAAGATAAATTATATGCCAGTCCTGAGTCGTATTATAGTAAAAAGTAATTAATTTAATTGACGACCTTATGTTTAGATTATGGCGGACTCATTATATTTGCTTTATGCTTGTATTTATTGTGTTTTGCATCCGGTATGGGTCCTACACCATGGACAGTCAATGCTGAGGTTAGAAATATTTTTTGCTATCCATAGAGGTCTAATATCTATCTATCTATCTATCTTGATATTCATTATATAGTTCCAAATATAACTAATTTTCTCGAAAATTTGAAGAAAAAAATATTCCCCCACAGTAGTTTTTTCACCTTTACTCATTTATGCAAACTCAAATTCCACAAAAGCATTTTTCAATATAAGCTCAGATTCTTTTTATTTTTTTCACCTTTCTTGAATTGGATTTTTTTATATCATGCTCACATATTCTTATTCAAATTACCCCCCCGGACTTAAATTTGCCCCCTTTTTTAGAATACCACTGTCTGTTTGTCTGTCTGTCTGTCTGTCCATCCATCTATCATCTTTGTAAACTGGTGTGCTATAATATCTATATCTATCTATCCGTTTGTCTATCTGTATATCTATTTATCTATCTATTTATCTAGATATATCCATTATGGTGTAGAAGCTGGGCTATATCTATTGCTACCTTTGTAAACTGGTGTGCTAATATCCTTGTATCACAAACCTACTTAACACTTAACAGGGAGCTTCATCAGGTAATACCTCATATATAACTATAACTAATATAAATATAACTCACACATTATAAAAACAAGAAAAACTGTTATAAATATCTATATATATATATATATATATCT